TCATGGGGAGCACCCTGTTCGCTGTTTTGAAATGAAACTTGAGCTTTCTTTTTTTAAAGTTTATTTATTCATTTTGAGAGAAAGCGGGGGAGGAGCAGAGAGAGAAAGAGAATCCCAAGCAGGCTCTGCGATGCCCGTGCAGAGCCCAACGCGGGGCTCGATCCCACGAACCGTGAGGTCATGACCTGAGCCGAAGTCAAGAGTCAGACGCTTAACGGGCTTGAACAAACCTGACACAAGAATAGAACGTAAGATTCAGGGTCAGTATGTGGAAAAAAGAAAGGAATCCAGGTCGCTATATAAGTCCGTCGGGTTTGTTCTTTGTTTTGAGTGGACTTTTGTTGGAAGCGGGGCCCTGGGACAGCGGCCCATCTTGCCCATCATTTCTGTGCCTTTTTGGGGGCCGAGTGGTCCGTGTCTGGGAGAAGATTCCGCCGTTCCCTTTGGCTGATTTTTAACACTCCTGTGAGCACAGGTGGGTGTTGCTTAATGTGTGTTCAGCCAGCATGGGAAGGTGTGTTCTCCTCTGTTTTGGTTTGTTTTTGGTTTTACCCAGGTTCTTGCATTACTTCTGAAATGTTTTTTGAGTGCCTCTTTCTCTCTTGGTAGGAAAGGCCCCTTCCCAGGGCAGGTGGGGGTGGGCAGGGCCGGAGCGGGGTCCCAGCCTGTTCTGTGTTTTCTTCCTTCTTGTTCTTTTCCAGATGATAAACCGCCCTGCTGTGTCATTCAGCCCTAATCAGAGCTGAATTATTGTGTGTTTGATTTTTAACTAGGCCCTGGGGGCGGGGAAATCATTACCAGGCAACTCCCAGGCCTCCTGTGGAAAGGAGCCTGGGGTTCCGGCCGGAGGGGTGGGGGCAGCTCGAAGGGAAAGGTGACAGGAGAGGGGGGAATGGCTTGGGGGGAGTTGGCTGGTCCCGGGCTGGACCAGTGAAGGCAGTGAGTCTGTATGCCCAGCTGCAAAGCTCCGAGCACAGGGGCACTGTACAGGTGCCGTCCCCCTCGGTCCCTACCTTCTGGGATCAGGGTTTTCCCTGGTGGAACAAGGATCAGTCAGATTCCCTTTGAGCTGGAAACACAAAGTTAAAACGAATTGTTGAACTGTATAAAAAGATGCCCCGGGGACAGAGGAAGCCACTGGCTGAACCTTCCAGAATCTCCATCCTGGGCCACACACCCACCCCCAGGGGCCGCTTCTAGTGTCCAGTTCCCAGATGGTGCGGAACTTGGAAGCCTGGCGCCTCCTTCCCTCGAGTGGCCGCGTCCTTCTTGACCCTGGGCCCAGCCACACCTGCGCAAGGGACCTGGGACCACAGCTGGAGTCTGGGCTGCATCTGGGCCCTGGATAACACTTTGCACTTTTCTTTTCCAGACCCGGGCCGCATCATAAGGGGCCCTATGCCATCCTCAGGTACGGGCATCCTTAACAGTGGCCTGAGGCCTCTGGGGGCTCTGCACAAGGGGGTGGGGCCCGAGTTAGTGTTTTGGGGAGGGCTGGGTGGGTGGCCACACAAGCCCCTGGCGTTGGGCTCCCAACCGGGAGGCTTTTCACCACCCATGCCCTGCTGTTTTCATGCTGGGTCTCTGGAAACACAACAGCAGCCCCGTGTAGGTGACGTGGGGCTTTTTCATGTGCGGTGCAGAAGCCAGAGGTGGGCTGTGAACCTGTGGGAAGACGTGGCTTATGGGGAAGCCTGCAGGCAGGGCAGCGGGGGAGGCGGGAAGTGCAGAGACACAGTGCCATTGTTAATGCACCCACTGTATGCCAGGGCTGTGCCCTCCTCACGGTCGTGCCCCGTCCTGTGGCCCCCGACTGGCTCCTCTGCCTGCCCAGGGACACAGTGGGCCACAATGTGTTTTCTTTGATGTCTTGGAGCCTCGGATCGGGTGCCCTCAGGTACTTCTTCAGCTTTGCTCTGTAGCGTGGGGAGACCAGCCAGCAGCGTGACTACTGTCCCGGGCCAGGCTCACGGGGTCCGGGGGGTGGGGGTGGGGTCCGGTGGGGGGGGGCACCGCTGCCGGGAGGTGGGGAACCCAGGCTGCAGCCACGTCTGCCTTCACACCCTGTTGCTGTGTGTTTGTCTTGGCCTAGTTAGTGGTTTTCAGCTCTTGCCCACAGAGATGGTGGAACTTTCCAGAATAGCTCCCCAGTTTTTCTTGCATGAGAACATAATAGAGCATTGAGTCTCTTGGTTGCTTGGTGCCCACTGGGTACCAGGATCTGTTCCCTAATTTTGTGGATACCACCAGGAGCAAAAACCCCCAAGGCCTCCCAGAGCTCGTGTTGTGGTGGGGGGCACAGACAGTAAATAATATGTGTGCACACCTACAACGTGTTTGTAGGTAGTTGTACCACAGACAAACAGAGGAAACCCCCTACCCCAGGGGAAAGGATGGTCAGGGAAGCTCTGCTGAGGAGAGGAGGGAACGAGCCGGGATGGAGAGCAATGGAGGCAAAGAACAGCATGAGCAAAGGCCCTGGGGCCGGGGCAGGTGTGTGCCTGCTGTGGTCTAGGAGCAGCGGGGGGGCAGGGAGGGACTCCTGGGCTCTGTCCACCTGGGACAGACCTCTCTCTGCCTGCTGATGATAGCTCACTGGCCCCCTGTGTTGTTCTCTCCCATAACCGCCCTAAAAGATAGGGATAATGAGTCTGTTTTGTAAATGAGGAGCCAGGGGCTTGAACAGAGAGTGAGCCGAATGCAGGAGCATAAATGCGGATCGGGACTCCCATCTCGAGGCTGCAGGGTAACAGGGACATCTTGTTCCTTCAAGTGAAAAACCAGTCCAGATGCTTGTAGAAGTGCTAGCCCTTGGCCAGAGTACAGGGTGGGGGTGTGGGGGCCCGAGGCCCCTCCCCTTCTCCTCGCCCCACAGCCAACTCCCCCGCCCCCAGATCACAAGTGGGTGTGTCTGTGGGCACATCTGGACAGTCCCCAGAGCTCCTGGGCCTTTGGGAAGACCCGAGCTCCGACAGAGGGATCCCCAGGTTTGGGCAGGTCGGTCTTGGGGCTGTGCTGCTTCCTGTTCCTTTCCCGAAGATGGGACATGGGTCTTGCAACCTGTGCGTGTGGTAGGATGTTTAGGCGGAAGCCCGTGGTGCCATATGTCTGCATCCTGTCCACACTGTGGGTGGGAAGGTCCCTGAGCCCCCTGGGGGCTACGGATCCAATGTCCTAAGTGCTGGGTCTCACACAGAGCCAGTGTGGGGTCATAATGCGTTTGCTATTGTCTTGAGATGGCTACTGAGGGTAGGGCTGAGGGTACTGAGGGTAACTGGGGACTCCTCGGCCCAGGGCATTTCGGGTCCTGTACCCGTCACGCAGACCCTTCCTTGTGGACCATTCCTGGCCTGGGGTTGGCCAAGGGGTTCTAACTCAGAACAATCACTGGAAGAAATTTTGTACCATTCATTCTTGGCTTCCTCTTTTAATTTTAATTTTTTTAACTTTTTAGTTTTTTAATTTTATTAAAAAATGTTTTTAATGTTTATTCATTTTTGAGAGAGAGAGTCAGAGACAGAGCATGAGTGGGGGAGGGGCAGAGAGACAGGGAGACACGGAATCCGAAGCAGGCTCCAGGCTCCGAGCCGATGCGGGGCTCAAACCCACGAACCGTGAGATCATGACCTGAGCTGAAGTCGGACGCTTGACCGACTGAGCCACCCAGGCGCCACTCTTGGCTTCCTTTAAAAAGTCATTGCGCCTGTGCGTTTATTTGAGATTTAGGGAGAAGGATGTGGAAGTCACGGATGCACAGTTCTGGCAGGTGGGACGCGCTTCTAGAATTCGTGACAACCACCTGGCTGTGCGGCCCAGTGGTTTGTGCTCTGGCCAGACACCCGCCGGCCAGGCCTGCTCGGACCCCTCTGTCCGTCGACGCGGCGGGGTCTGAGATTCATACAGAGCTGCCTCCAGCCTCACGGGGAGGGAAGGCGCGTGCTCCGTGGGTCTCGCAGGGGCTGATGCCTCCCGGCGCCAGAGGGGCTCCCATGGAAGCCAAAGTGAATGCGTGTTTTCTCAGGCCAGTGAAGCCCCTCATCTGCGCTCTGTGTCTCCTCACCCTCACGTCAAGCCTGCATATAGAACACACCCTCATTTGCAGCCGGGGGAGCACGGGCCATGGGAACACAGGCCCTGCACGAGTCCAGCCACATGTCGGAGCGTGACCCAGGCACTTCCGTGGTCGCGGGCACCCAGCCCGCCAGGCCGGGAGCCGGATCTCAGGGCGGGTTTCTCCAGAGGCCCAGTCACCCCTGGATGTGGTGGCTCCCAGGTGCCTAGAGCGCGGGTGCAGCCCTCGGCAGCTGCCTCGCTCTGGTGTCCCTGCCATGTCCCAGGGGGCAAGAGGGTGTGGACACCGGCTCGCCCGGGACCCCGCTCTGCGCCTGCCCCATCCGTAGTTAATAATAGTAGCGGGGGGTCCGCTCTTCCTGCCCTGATGTGAGGCCTCATTTGTGTTTCCCGACTGTCCTGCCAGGCAGAGGGAGGTCAGTGCACGAAGATTCGCTTCACCCTCCCGGTGGAAGGACACCACTCCGTGGGGCAGTCCCGACAGGCCCCTGTCTGTCTCTCCCCACCGAGGGCCGGCCGGCCCCTGTGTCCCGTGCACAATGGGTTCTTGCCTCCTGATGATTTGCAGGCTCGGCCGTGCTCAGGGTTCAGGCTCGTGACAAAATTAACTCCCAGTCCTCTAGACAGGATGACTCCTAAGCTTGGAGAATCGGAAAATTCTCTAAGTGATGGCTCCTTTTGCGTAAAAAGGTAGAAAGGGTTGGTTCTGGGGCCTGAAGCTGCTAGAATTGCTTGGGCTGGTACTCGCTCTGCCGGTGTGGGGGGGGGAATGCAGAATTTTGGGGTCCCGGAGGAGTACTTGTCCCTAATTACAGTGCATTGTCTGTTACGGGTTCGTCTTTTGGTTCATGCAGGTGCACATGTGCATCCAGGAGCCTGAAGGACGCTTTCAGCCTTGACTCACAGCCGGTCTCCGTTTTCTCCCCCAGTGCCGCACACGCAGGGCCCGGTCGATGGCAGCCTGTATGCCAAGGTGAGGAAGAAGAGTGCCTCAGATCCCAGCGTCCCAGGTGGGGCCCCGGCCGTCCCCGCCACCACCAGCCCAGACCACAGTGACCACACCCTGTCCGTCAGCAGCGACTCTGGCCACTCCACCGCCTCCGTCAGGACCGACAGGACGGAGGAGCGGCTGGCTGCGGGCCCCAGGCGGGGCCTCAGTCCCCAGGAGAAGGCCGAGCTGGACCAGCTGCTCAGCGGCTTTGGCCTGGAAGATTCCGGAAGCCCCCTCAAGGATATGACCGATGCTCCCAGCAAGCACAGCGGCACACGCCACGTCGTGCCGGCTCAGGTGCACGTGAACGGAGACACCGCGCTCAAGGAGCGGGAGACGGACATCCTGGACGACGACATGCCCGGCCACGACCTGCACAGCGTGGACAGCATCGGGACCCTGTCGTCCTCGGAGGGACACCAGTCGGCCCACCTGGGCCCCTTCGCCTGCTACCAGAGCAGCCAGAACTCCCTCCTGTCCGACGGCTTTGGCAGCAGTGCTGGCGAAGATGCGCACGGCGGCCTCGCCCCCGACCTGAGCCTCGGCGTGGATGCCCCGTTCGAGCGGGAGCGGGCTTTCGGGATCCGAGAGGCCAAGCAGCCACCCCCGGCGTTGCGGAGGCCCTCCGTGTCCGCGCAGACACAGGCCTACGGGCAGAGCGGCTACTCCACACACACCTGGGTGTGCCAGCAGCAGATTGTGGCCGCCCAGCAGTACAGCTTTGCTCCCGACGGGGAGGCCAGGCTCGTCGGCCGTGGCCCGGAGGACGGGTCCGGCCTGCTGCAGGCCCAGCCCCGGGTTCTGGTCACCCCCACCCGGGGGACCAGCAGCAGAGTGGCCCCACAGAGGAGCGTGGGCCCCGGGCCCCACCTCCCCGATGCACAGCGGCCCCCTCCAGGCAAAGCCTTCAAGCCCAGGTTTCCAGACGTCAGGGTCCTGAACGGGACCGGACCGGAGCCCGGCGCGGACCCCTCCCCGGGCTCGCCCACCCTGGACATCGACCAATCCATCGAGCAGCTCAACAGGCTCATCTTGGAGCTGGACCCTACCTTTGAGCCCGTCCCCACCCACATGAACACGCCGGGCATCCAGGCCAACGGCCCCATGCCGCCCGACAGCCTGGGAGGCAGGCTGTGGGACACGGGAGAGGGCCCCGGCAGGGCCCCGGTGCGGCAAGGTGAGCGGGCGGTTGCACACTGCGTTCATGCGTGCCTTTACAGAATGGGGCCTCGCGTGCTGGGCTCTTTTCTGGGTCTGGGGGAGGCCCGCAGGGAGGACAGTCGGGCCCCTGGGCACGACCATGTGGGGACAGGTCACCAAGTGCACAGTCCCGAGCTGGCTTTGCTGGGAGCAGGGGGCTGCTCATGGCCAGGCCCAGAGGGTGGGGGGCTCGGGCGTAGGGAAGGATGGAGGGAGGGGTGGGTTCCAGGCAGTCGGGGATGAGGGGATCCAGGTACCATCTCTATGCGCCCCTGCCGCTGTGGGGCCACGCTGACTCCAGGAGGCTAGGGCTGTGGGGTCCTGAGCCCCGGGACATGTGGCGCAGGGACCAGGGCGGGGCCTTGCTGTCCCGCTGTGGGGCCTGGGAGGCTGGGGTGGCTGTAGCAGACAGGCGGTGACCTCGGGGTGTGTGGCTTCGTGAACGTAGGGACAGGTGTTGGGACGGGGTCTGTGACTTGTTCTCCGTGTCTGGGTGGCGTAAAGCTGGGGGCCGCGGAGAGCTGGCGGGTCAGCCTGGGAGGGCAGCCAGCGGGCAGTGGTGCTGGGATGGAGGGAGGCTGTGAGGGGCAGGGAGCTGCGTGTGGAGGCTGCGGGGAGTCCGGCCGGGCATCCAAGCCTGCGCGCCACCAACATCCGGGGAGGCCGAGGACAAGACCCCCGGCCGGGCTCAGGCAGGGTCTGGACCCAGCGCCCCCTCAAGAGCATGGTGTCCACAGGAGGCCAGGCCGTCCTGCGCTGGTATGTCAGCAGGCTCCCTGGGTCCCTGCTGTAAGCGAAGACGGGAGTCACAAAGCGGGGGACACTCTCACTTCCTCGTCCTTCTGTGTGTGGGCCCGAAGGCCACCTGTCCTGCTGAGCCGGTCACACCGATGGCGACCTTGCCGCTCTCTGGCATTGCTCCCTGGACCCCTTTCCTCTCCCTCAGGCCCCTTTGCTGCCTGGATGGATTCCTGTCTTATGGTTAAGGTTTGGGAGCCGTCGAGAGATGAAATGACCTGTCCAGCGTCCCCTGCAGTAGAGCAGGAATAGGTCCCTGCCCCCAGGCGCTCTGCCTGCTTCTGAGGAGGATGGTGGTGATGGAGATGATGACAATGGTGACGAAGGTAGTAATGGAGGAGATGGTGGGACTGATGATCACCAGGGTGATACTGGCGTTGTTCATGACGGTGGTTAACAGCGAGAGTAAGCACTGTCACTCTGAGTGCTCGTGCTGTTCCAGGCGTTATGTTTGAGCTTCCCTGCGTCACCTGTGATCTCGGCACCTACCGTGGCAGGTGCACAGAGCTACCATCTGTGTGACCCTGCATCGCATGGCTGAGCTCTTCTTCCGCTAAACTCCTGACCCCACCACGAGCCAGGAAACCCCTTTGTGTCCCGGCACATGGTGTTGTTTGTCAGCAGGGGGGTGTGGTGCTGGCGGAAAAGTGGATGGCTCTGCCGAGTTGGGCCCTTCAGGAGGTTCATCACAGGGCAGTGTGGGGAGCCTGGCCCCCATCCAGAGCTTTCTGACGAAAGCTTTGACCTGGTGAAACGGGGTGGGGGGGAGTTGGGTTCCGTGGTGTTTGCTCCCTCTGTACCTCTGTGGCTCCCTCGTGCTGGTCTGAATCCCTGGCTGTGGCTGACGTCTGTGCGCCCCTCCCTGCAGCCCGGTTAGGCAGTTTCTTGGGTCATATCCGTTAAGTGGGGGAGACGTCACCTGATGACACCAGGTAACCGAAGAAATGACTCAGTCTGTGAAATTTGTGGTCCCGCCGACGGCAGACAGTGGGCTGTGTTTTTCCCGGACCTCGAGGGCTCCTTGCTTCGTGTTGCCGAATACTTTGTTCCTGTCACGTCAACCCCCAGCCCACGATTACAGGACCCCGGCAGGCCCCCATCCTGCGGGCGGGCCTCACTGCCGGCGTCTTCATGTGCTTCCACAGATGAGGGCGTCTGTCGCTCTAATACTCCCGAGTCAGGGCACCTGTTTATACTGAGGGGAATTCAGAGCAGTGAGAAGCAGCCACTTGCAACGATCGATTGTGGAAGGCCCATCCGTTTAAGTTACGCGTTCAACCCCAAAGTGAAGGGATCCGCTGTGGGATCGTGAGGGTTTGATGGCGCTCAGAAAACATCTTGAACCCATGGCCCTGCACACCTTGTTTCCCGTGGGAGAGACCTGCAGACCTGCCACAGCCCAGGGTCACCTCAGCACCAGGATGGCTGCCTCTGAGCATGTCTGCGGGGCGGGGGGGCCCTGGGTGGGAGCCTGGCAGTGAGGCCTGCCCTGTGGAGATGTCGGAGGGGTGGCCGCAGCTCCTACCCTGATACTGGGTATTAGGAGAAATGGAAGAGCCCGTGCCATTTTGGCGTAGGAGCCCACAGAACGCCCGAGACCCACTGTGTCCGTGGCAACTCTCCAAAGCCCCGAGTTTAGTAACTTGCGCAGTGCGCATCCCAGCCGAGCCTATAGCCATCAGCAGTCAGGCCCGGCCTCAGGCCCGGCCCCAGCCCCTGGCTTGTTTTCTGACTCCACGCGTTGGCCTGTGCCAGGTATTTCGTGCGTGGAATCGTACAACGTGTGGCCTGCCGTGTCTGATTGCTTTCGCGGGCGTCCGCTTTTCTACGCTCCTCCGTGGTGTGGCGTATGTTAGAGCTTCGTTGCCGCGTGGGGCTGAATGGTACTCCCCTGTGTGGTTGGGCCACGTCACGTGTCTCCACTCATCCGAGCGCAGGGGGCTGCCGTAAATAGCGCCGCCAGGAACAACCACGTACAGGTATTAGTCGGGATGTTTTCAGTTCTTGAGTCGAACCTCCAGGCCACCTGGCAATTTGTTGTTTAACATGTCTTGGGGACCACCCCCTCAGATGTTTGAAAGTTCGCCTTGGAGACCCTCTGGGCTCTGGTGTGGTACAAGCAGCCGGTCCGCACAGGTGTGATGGCCCCAGGCACCCTCACTTTCGGACAGGTGCCAGTTTATTTTTCAGTCCGTGGATAGAGGGCGGTGAGATCCTCTCTAACGGGGTAGGGAGGTCGTGACGTCTGAGCAGGGATGGCCCTGGGGGTGTCCCAGCTCCTGCTTCTGTTCAGAAGTCTCGTGCGTCATTTCTCCTTCCAGCCCAGCAGCCGGCACCTGCCCGCACGTCCACTGAGGGCGGCCCTGCAGGTGGACAGCTCTGGCAACCGTCCTCCGTCAACACCACGGCTGCTAAAAATGGAGATGACATGTCTGAGGAGACCATTTGGGGAGGGGAAGGATCATTCAAAAGGAAGATAAATTCAAATAAGCAAAAAAGGGAACCGAAGCCAGGCCCTAGCCTTTGCTGATGGTGTCTTGAGTGTAAAA